AAACTTTATAAATGGAGTATTTTAAACTAACTTAATTTCTAATATTTATTTTATACTTAACGATCAAAAAGGAAGGAATAGAAGTAAAAAAAAATTCAAAATAAAAAGTAATATTTTTAAAAACCACGTTTTAGTAGTGGAGAATAATAATTAAGAAAAAAATTGAAAAACGAAAAACGTGGGGCGCATGAAATACATAACAGTAATGTTATATTAGTGTGTGTATGTGTGCTCTTGAGAATATGTGTATGTATATCAGTAATTGTAATTGTATCTGAATGTGGATGTGGAATATGCTTTTGTATATGCATATGTATGTGGATGTATATGTGGCTGTGCATGTGTATGAGTAAGAAAATGTGTATATGTATGTGTATATGTACTGTTATGTATTTCATGCGCCCCACGTTTTTCGTTTTTCAATTTTTTTCTTAATTATTATTCTCCACTACTAAAACGTGGTTTTTAAAAATATTACTTTTTATTTTGAATTTTTTTATTTTAAACTATGATTTTTTTAATTTTTATTTTATATTTTTAAAAAATTATTATTTTTTAATTATTATTCTTCACTACAAAAAACGTGGTTTTTAAAAATATATATTTTTATTTAGATTATTTTTCTTAGTCAAGAGTAGTCAAGACTACTACAAGACCACTACTAAAGTAATAGAACTTTTATTTTAAATTAGGGATACAAAAATCTTTATAGAAAAACAATACCTTTACGACTTTCATTAGTTTTATGCTGATGACAACCAAAACAATCTGGAAATGAATGAGGAAAAACTGGATCCTACCACGTGATTTTTCAGCCAATAAAAATACTCCGACAACAAAAATCTTTTCACCTGACACGTAATAATTTGAAATAATGGAATCGACAACAATAGACAATCTCGAAAATAATTTTTTTTTTAAATTTTAATTTTATTTTACTTTACATGTCTTTTTTCTCCTCATTTTCATGCATTGTCATCCAATTCTGAACTGTGTGCTAAATTTGAAGTTTGTAGCTACTCGGGAAGTTAGTTTAAAATCGATTACAAAATTCCACCCGGACAGACATACACGAAGGCAAGTTTATATAAACGTGGTAATAATAAAAAATGAAATAGCTGTAAAATTTAATTTTCGTCTTTGAATTAAAGTATTTCAGTGTCTGTTTCTAATTAAATACATTCAATTTCGTAATTGGAATGTACTAAGTTTTTTTTAAGTAGTTACGTTATTAAAATATTAAGCAAGTAACGTAAAAAAAAAATTTAAGTCAATTCCTACTTAGATCAACAAAGAAAAGTTTTATTTTAGTTACTTTATACTTAATAATTATAATTTTTCTCCCATATGAAACTAAAATTAGTTAAATTTAAGTAATGGAAATAATATTTGAAAAAAAAATATGTTTACAATTAGTGTCCTCCATTACAAGAATATGTATTTGAACTTGATTTGGATGAATAAAACGCATTTTATGAACAATTGAAAATTTGAACAAGATATAGAGAGAATGTGAACTAATACAGTACAGAACCCGTTATCCGGAAATCAGAAAACCGGAAAACCAAAAAACCGGAACGAAATTCAATAAATTTTCCCGTAAAAAATTTTTTTAAAAAAAAAATTTTTTTTCCTCATAAGATTTTAGGATTTTTCTTCCTTTTTTTAAAGATGCTTACCTTACCATCATTTTGGAAATAATCATTAGTGTATAACTTAATCGTTTTTTCTTCTTTTTAAGATTATTTCTAATTTTTTTTTTTTTTAAGTTGGGTTTAACAATAAAAAAACGGCTTTTTGTAGTGATTCAGAAAACCGGAAAAATCAGTTATCCGGAATAGCGATGGTCCCGATCGTTCCGGATAATCGGTTCCCTACTGTAGTAGGAATTGAAAAAAAAATTCTGTGGCGCGTGGCATCAGACAACTATGAAAGCATGCATTTGATGACGTGGACCACACGTGCTACCACGAAATGTTCTTTAAATTTATCTGACACAGCTAATATAAAATAATTAATTATTTAAATGAGCGCAATAAACTATTTTTTTGTTCAAATAGTGAGAAATTATCACTGATGTTATCTAACATGTGAATAACTGCATCGCTTTGAGTAAAATTTAAAACAATGACTAACGCTTAACCCATCAAAAAATTCCATTTCGTTTTTCCCTCATCCCTATTTAATGAATGAATTAATATTTGAATAAAACTGTATTAACATCAAATGTCATCTAGTACAAGTTTTAAAAAAGAATGGCATTTGAACTTGAAAGGAATAAATAAAAAGCAATTGAACAAGGTATATAGGGAGAGTACGAACTAATAGCATAAATTGAAAAATATATAATTTCTCAATAATATTTTGATATTAAAATCTTCCTTTATTTTTTCACCTAATCATGTTAAAAATTCAGTAAACTTGTGGAATTAATGTCATGCTTATTGTTTAGCTAATTTGGAATGCATATAAATCTTTTTGATTTTATCTGTGAGTATATAAATTTAATACGAGTAATTTAACTCTACACTTTTAACTTCCTATTTCCTTTAGTTTTAAAAAATGTTGAAAATTAAAAAAGTATACTACTACCATTTGTCAAATTAAATTTATAGAACCAATCTGAATTTTATTGATTAATATAACCAAATTGTGAAAAAAATAAATAACCAGTATTACAAGCATATAAATAATGATTTAAAAAATTAGAGTAAACAAATTTTAACGCTGTTTTAAAGAATGCAATATAAATTTAATTTTTTAATTTACTTAAAAATGTTTCAATACTATAGATTATTTTAAAATTTAAAATTTATGCCTTATTTAAAATTAGAATTAAATAATTAAAAATTTTAAATTAAATTTAAAACTTTTACAAAATTTAAATTTAATGTTTGCTATGTAATGTTAAATTTAATGTATGTTATGTATGTTTAATGTATGTTATGTAATGTTAAATTTAATGTTGCTTATATTAAATTAGTATTTTAAAATTTAATTAGGATTTGTATTACATTTAAAACTAATTACACAAATCAACCCTCTTATATTTTTTAACTCAAATTTTTCGTTATAAAATATATTAAAAACTATTTAAACCTCTCGTGTTTTTAGATATAAATAAATAATTAAATGGATAATAAATAATTATTTTCGTCCCTTCTTTTCAAGTAAGAGCCCAACGCTTATCTATTTTTTTAAAACTTGTTTTCCATCCTTAACTGTTTTCTTTTGCGGGACAATAATTAAATTAGATTATTATTTCAAAAGCAATTAGTGGTTTATTATGGCAAAAATAAGTACTTCCTTTCCCAAGATGCTGCAGATTAATTAGAATTTCAAGAAGAATTTCTTTTTCAGAAGTACACTTGTTGCGACAATGTATTTTTTTTTATTGAAAAATGTTTCACCATCATTTAATTGAATCTTCTTATCTATTAAGTTGGAAAATTCATTACTGTCATGCTTTACTGTTAAAAGAAGGCTAATTGATAAATAAGTAATATTTTCTTCAGGATTTTTTACCTATTTTTTTTTAATTTCTTAACGAAATTGCGACAAAATTGACGTTAGTTAAAAAGTTTTTATAATATGCATGCGCTTTATTATTTAAAAAAAAATATTTTTAATTATTTGTACACAATGAAAAGAAGTTGCCTTATATAAAAAAAACATTTGTATGATTTTTGATTATTATTTCAATATCAAGTTTTATAATGCCGGCTTATTGGTTAAAAGGAATAACCCTAAATACGTTAATCATTATATTAATATCCTGAAATGTACATAATCCCAATTTGAGCAGAAAAGGTTAAATTCATCTATAATAATTATTTTTTTATCTCTTCTTTTCAAGTAAAACTTTTTCCATCCTATTTATCTATTTTTTTAAAAAAACTAGTTATAAAAAAATTAAGAAATGCTTGCGAATTGAGAAATTGAAATTAACTAATATTTTTTAAATATTATTTAGTTTAAAATTTGTGATGAAGCAATCAAAATCTTGATTATTTCATCTATACTTAGTTTAAAATGATCTAACGATTTTTATTCTTTGTATGCAAATAAATGTCTTCATTTTGAAATTTATTTACTAGTCACTAAGGTTCGAAACAGGATCAACGTAGCATCTTATAAGGTTCAAAAATTTGCATGATTCAAAGTATCGAAAAAGTTCTTTTCTTTAACGATATCGTTCTTCAACGCTAAACTAATTTCTCCGAGAGTTTATACCATGTATTTAGGCCAACAAAATATTATGGTAACAATATATTCGATATTAATGAAAGCGTTAAATGTGAGGATCTTGAACTTTGGTGTCAAATTTAACTACATCAACAGCAAATCGATCCTTATTTTAGAGCTTAAATTATGTGTTTGGGCAAATGATATATTATAATAGTAAGATTAAACTCTATATCGTTAACTTTTTGACTCAGATTGGACACCGGGGTCCCTTTTATGTAGTTTTTTTCTCACTCAAATTAGAAGTAAAAATATATTTTGGTATTTCTTAATTACAAAACAACCGTCTGGCAGTTACTAAAATTATCGGAATTATATTTGTAGTAAAATATAAAATAAAAAAAGTAGTTTGAATTTTTTTTCCATTCACATTCAAACATTTAGTTGCAAATTCGATTAATTGATTTCGTAAATTAAAGAAATTTCAATGAGGAGTAATTGTTTCTCTTATATCTAAATAACTGCAAATAAGCACAAATTAAAAAAAATATTGTTTCGAACTGAGCCGTTGTCAAACGATTAAAACCTTAAAGCAGAAAAAGACATTAGGGTTTCATACTGTATTTCATCACCTTAAATTATAAAAGTGCTAAATATAATATGTTTCCCTTTTTTTGACTTAATTGATACAAAGTAATGAAAAGAGTACGAAAAATATGTTCAATAAAATTCTACATCAACGGGTTATAAATATCCAAAACTTGAAATAATTTTTAATAAAAAACTTTCTTGATCAGTGTGCATATATATTGTGACGCTTATCGTCACTTAATTCAGAATCACAATAAAACATTTAAAATAGATTTATCGTAAATTGCAAAATAATTGATTAGATTTAAAATACTGTGGAAACTTCCATTAGTACATAGAACTTAAGCAAATACAAATAAACTCTCTTGATTAAAGTGAAGAAATACGTGTCGGAAAGGGTTAATCAGAAGTCTATAGTCCAAGTTTGATCTCTTGTGTGACCTTTCCAGAATTTAGCAATAGTTTTATCTTGCAAAAAGTTTAGTATAAAAGATCAACAAAAACAGTAGCAGCAGGAAGAGTAGAGAGAGTAGAACCGAGTCATTTTGAGGTTCACCAACTTCCAATATGAACATCAGTATGGGTAAGTTCTCTCCATGCCAATTAGTTTATTTGTTGCTAATCAAAGCCTTTTAATTAGTTTAATTTGTTATATAAATTTGTATTTGATTAAAGCTTTGTTAATTTAAGTATTTTAAATAGTTGAGGTATGTAAATTAATTCGACAATATATGCATAAAATAAA